TGGCTAGGGAGGTCAGGTGAGCCAGGGGAATATGTCACAATAATTTAATGATTTTAGGCTTTATTTTGGAAAAAAATATCCAAGGCTTAAGCAAATATGACATTAAATCCCTTGATTTAGGGGACCTTTGGTGCATGGCTTAGCTTAGGTGGTTTCATAGGGTTTAGGCTGGTCACTAGGGCCCAACTTATGGTTGTGAAGTCATTAATTTGATGACTTTAAAGGCCATCTTTAGTGCATGGGTTTAATGTGGGTTCAAGTGATCAAAGCTTGGGTTTGGGCTACGCTAGCCATGTCAATTGACCCAATTGATTGATCAACATTGTGTAGATGATTGTTATGAAGATTTTTGTTGAAGAATTGAAATGATTTTGAGTTCAATTGGAGGGACAATTTGAAGGATTTTTGAAATTTGGTCAATTTGGGAATGTTGAGATAGACATGGGTCTAGGTTGGGCTAGCCTTAGGCTAATTCTAAATTAAATGGTTCAAATGATCAAGAGATATGTTGTGAAGATTTTTTATGAAGGAATAGAGTGGAAATTTTGGGGCTAAAGCCATCAATTTGGTGAGATTTTGAGATATGACCGATTTGCGCAAAAATTGGGGATTTTTGGACTTAAGGTGAAATTAAATGAAATTGGGGCTTCACCAAGGCCAATTGAAGGTGAAATTTGATGTGTAGGAATTTCATGAAGATCTTTTAACACAAATTTTGGCAAATGGAGTAGGCCATGGGTTCAATTTGGTGGAACCAAGTCACAGGGCCAAAATTGGGTTTGTAGATTTAGATCAAAATTGGGCTCAAAAAGTGAGTTCAAATCATGGCCCAATTGGGCTTGGATTTGGTCTAGATTGGTCATATCATAAGTGAATTTAAGTATAGAATTGAAATTGGGGGAAATTGAGACAAATTGGATAGACACTTGAGGTAGGTTTGGGAAAAAATGAGCCTTTAAAGGGCATAACGATATAGCACATCTAGAAGAAATATATAGATAGTTGCAGGAGATTGCTTGAATTTCCATAGCAGATACAAGAAGATTAGTGCATTTATACAAATAACTTCAAAAAAAGGAAAAATTATTTTTTGTGTTATATATATATATATATAATCTAGAAGAACACATATAGAATGAACAAATGATTGAAGGTGGTAAAAAGTTTCTCCTCTAACCTCAAAAGTATAGGTTTGGAGTTTGATTAATAAATTGAAGCTTAGAGTTAATCCTCTGTTTTCCCTCTCCCTTATGTTTTATCTGAACAATTAAAAAATGAAGTAATGTTCGATTATATTTTGTAGAATGGTAAAAGACAGAGAATTAGGTTTCAAGCTCATGCTCTCAATTTTCAGGCCATTGATTCTTAAGTTGTTAGCCTATCATGAGAGATGAGTGGTTGTTGGTCACTACGCAAGAATGAGAGGAAGACTAGGAAGGTCGCAGGTGACTGTGCGGGAATTAGAGGAGGACAATCAAAGGTCATTTTGCGGCAATCAGAGGAATAGAAGCTCTCTACATAGGAGTCAGATATGGTAACTGGGCGATAGCTGTAAGATACATGGAAAATGGGTTGAAATACATGGGTGATTGAGACGGAAATGAGACATGATAACGGGGAAGGGGACAACATTAATAAGGACAATGTAAGAGGTAAAAACGTGGTTGGAGACTAAGGGCCCGTTTGGGGCAGCTTATTGGGAGCGGTGGCGTTTTCAAAACGCCGCCTCCTTGTTTGACAAATGCGTTCGCAGAACTTATTTATGCCGCATCGCATTGGCATTGGATAAATCCTTCATCCGATTCGACGCAAGCAAAGTCCTGCGTCCCGCGTTCACAAGCCCCCTTGCCCTAGGATTTCTGAAGGTACCCTTGATTGCCCTCGCCTTCTCTCTCGCTGGAAGAAGGCGCGACGTGGATTTATGATATAATTGGAGCGCAAGGATGAAGATGGGAGTTTCAATGGTCTATATGTAAGCCGTGATCCCGTCGTTCCCTTCCCAAGTTGTCGCGATCCCGTTCCCTTCCCAGAGTCGCGATCCCAGAGCTCAAGCTTCTATAGGTTGATGCAGGAGTCTGCCTCTCCCTTTACTCTGCAAGCCACCGCACGATAGGGTTTCAAAGCTGCGATTGGAGTTCTCCTTTACTCTATCTCTTGGGTGAGCCGTTCGAGCCTTCCAGGTACTCAATCGAGTTTCTCCTTCTTCTCCCTCCTTTATTTTGATGCTCGCAGCACTCTGCATAGTCGCTCAAGCCATCTTCCCTGCAATTCAATCGCGAAAATGGAAGGAAATGATCATAGCAGGTGAGTCGCTCCTATTTTTCTCCTCCTCTTTTTTCTTTTCCCTTTACTGTAATTATTGTTTCTTCAACTTCTTCCTTCTAAATTCTACAATTTTATAATCTTTAATTCTACAGTTATGTATTTACGTGAGAAAAAAAAACATATCAGAAAAGCAAATTGATTTTATTGCCTTTTTTTATCATATGTTTCTTTTTACGTCACAATTTGATTTGTTGGGAGGATGAGATTTACAATTGGAGCAAATGAATGTTGCTTTTTATATCACAAATTAAGCATATTCTTGATTTTCTTTGGAATTATTGATGAATGTTCTTTTATCATATGAATGTTACTTTTTAACAAACAGGGGCAGAATGATCATTTATTCAACAACAGTTCCAAATAAGTTGTTCTGAATAAACTGCCTTTCTGAATAAGCTGCCTCAAACAAATAAGCTGTCTCAAACAACAAACTAGCTTATTCTGATAATCTGCAGATTATCAGATTATCAGAATAATCTGCTTATCAGCAAATTATAAATAATCAACTGCTGCCCCAAACAGACCCTAAGGCGAGCGAACTGGTAAGAGGGAACAAATTGTGGTTGTTTTGAAGAAGAGCGATTTTTAGGATGCTTAATATATAAATGGTTACATGCATAGAACTTATAACATTAACTTTATATATTTCATACATATATATATATATATTATATATATATATATATATATATATATACAGTGCCTAAAAATTTAAATTGGCCACATAATATCACTCTATAACATATTCTATTGCTTTTTGCTTGGAATCGCATGAGAAGATGCAAACGAGGCATGATTGGCCATTGCGAATCTCTCTTCACAACTAAACTAGAGTTTTCTCTTAATGATTTATTAGTCAATTGGGATGAATTGCTTTCTTCATCCATTGATTCATGTAGAATGCCGAATATCACTATAGGGTCTTATGTTGCCTCCAGGAGATTTCGTTGCCGCAATGGCAGTATCGATGCATGTGCATGTTCAATCATCTCTGTTGGCAACTGAGAATGTGACTTTGTGTCACCAGGGATCGTTGAACTTCCCAAGGAATATAAATTTGGTGAAATTGATAGAGAAGGCGAGTCTTTAAAAGCCCTTGCCTTGGAAGCGAACAAATTAGCTGCTTCACATCATAATTCCACTAAAAACATGCCATTTTCAATAAGCAGAGCTGTTTTAGTAGCTCCTAAGGCAACAATTATAACATTACCTGAGAACTAATGAGAATAGAAATTCTGAGTACTTCATAAAGAAGAAACACTTCAAAAGAACGATTCGAGCAAAGGAAGGAAAATCAAGAACTTCGTGGGAAAAAAATTGAAAGAAATTAGGCTTATCTAGAACAAATCAAATTCTTCTCCTGCAAAAAAGTTAAGTGAGAAGATAATGTCCTGGGTTTCTGTCTGGTGTAAGCTATTAGATAATTTGCCTTAAGAATTCGAGCTTGTAGCTGATGCAGGTCGTGGTATTTTATTGAGTCAAGAAACTCCTCATTTTGAATAAAGAGGCAAGCAATTGTTTATTTAGAGAATTGAGCAATCAAAATGCCAGAAGAGCCTTAGAGGAGTCGTGTGATACGATATCTCGAAAACACCGGAGTGCAGAGCTGAAAAAATATCATAAATCATAAAATATTCTTTGATGTCCTCTACAACACCCCAAGTGTGGGGAATAATGTTGAAATCAAATATGAGAAGAATGACCAACTATTGTTATCCGCTCTGTCTCGCTAAATAAGAACTTGAAGTTGTGTTAAATGGGTTATCATTAAGGCAATTATTGTGATTGAAAGATTTGACAACATGCATAACACCAACAGAGATGCTGTTATGGTTGAGTTGATGCGCTTGTAGAAAGTCTCATTGAAATTATCATAAAACACCATGAGAAGAGGTTTGGCGATTGAGGCAACTATGTTAGAGACATGAGAGATGTGTATTTTGAAATTTTAGGTGCTTTATATGTAAATATAAATTTAGACGTAAATTATATAAATGTTAATATTTTGAGTGTTATGCATATATGTAAAATTCCCTGTATGAACATATATGAATTATATTTTTGACATGTAAATATTTTAAATGATATGGTATGTAAAAAAATTCAATTAAAAATTTACGGGGACACCTAGAGGACCATTGAACACGGGATGCACGTGATGCCACCGGAAAACGTGCTCGTATGAATTTTATATGCTTCCTCCATTTCACAGCCCTTATTTAACTCTTAACGCCTTTTGACCGCAGAGATTAAGCTCCCCATCTCTCTCTCTCTCTCTCTCTCTCTCTCTCTCGGCGCTAGGCCCGCCGAGTTGATTTCGGTACCCTGATCCAATCTGTCCTCGCTAACAATCTCGACTGGCCCTATAGCATACAGATCATCCATGTCGCTAGGGAGCACTGGTGGATCCAGCGTCATCGGTAAGCACGGTCCCTATTTTTTCTATTTTCTTTTCTTTTGCCAATTAGGTTTTTTATTTGGAATACAGAGGTGTTCTTGTTGGATCTTTGAGAATTTGTCCCTTTTACGAATGTTTGGTACTTATCATCGCCATGGAAGGCGAAAATTTCGGTGTTGCGATACTATGATCTGACTTTCATAGCATCGGAAAAATTAAAATTCTCTCTGGAATCGCTATGACATAGGACTTCTACACGTGCTGTCTGCAGTGAATTTATGATTTACTGTTCTAAATGTTTGGGCCACTGGTCTCTAGTGAGCTTGACGGCTGAGGGGCCGAATGGTTGCTGGTGCAAGTAAGCTAGAATGGCTGCTAGAATGGAAATTTTTGTTACGTTGTTATTAACATTTACTGTTGTATTTATTAGTGTTGGTTTTGTATTAAAAATTTCAGTTCACTTGGTTTGGCGTTTTAGGGGCCGATTCTGTCTATAATACTTTATAGTTATTCAAACAAGCGGAAGAAAGGAGGATGTTCTTAGCAGGGAAACTTCGCTTGCTATAAGTTTGATTTACATTCTATTTATGGATTCTAGCTATTTGTTACTAATTTTGAAATATTAAGATATATTATGCTTCTAAATTCTAATAATTATGCTAAAAAAACTGAAAAAGGACACTCAATTCTTATGTTTTTTGTTTTTTCTGCAAGTATATTCCTTAGATTTTGTCAAATTTACATTTTGGTTTTTAGATTCTTGACCTTGTAAAATATACTAAATTATATAATTAATTTTATTATTTTCGCTTACTTTTGGTTTCCTTTTGGATACATAAATTAGGCTTTTTATTTGCATGGATCGGTTTATCCATGAAGGTGAAGAAAAAAGTTGATCCATTTAATTTAATTTAGTGAGGTTTGATTTTGCAAATTGTTTTCTATTGGTTTTCTTTTATAGGCTTTGTTGTTGCCTATTTTCTTTTAAGGTGGTTTTGATACTCTTGCATACATGTTTATGCGGTACTCATGGATGTCATAATTTATATTTGTAAATAATATTACTATTCTGCGATTCTCCTGCTTACTTTGGATCTAGTAAGAGGATTAATGTATACACCCCTACGCTTGTGTTGGAAATGGATTGTTTATGTAATTCAATCCTATAAACACTAGGTCACCATGGAGGCTAACCACCTTTGGTGTTTTTATTATAAAAAAATTTTGAATGATTCTTATTTGTTACTCCTAATATGTAGCTAAGATGTTTTATGATAGTGTTCTCCATCTATGATGATTTTCTTAAGTTTTTCTAAATTTATTTATGTTTTAATTAAGTGAGACTTGGTGCATGCTTTTTTTTAATGAAATTTGGTAGGATAAATCTTTTAGTGGAGATTTAGAATAATTGAGTAAATTATTATAATATGGAAGGTTTAGGAATTGCATAACAAAATCAATCAAGATTAGTAATGGAACACTTATGAAGCCTAAATACTTCAAAAAATCAATCATTTTTGTACAAGCATGTGTTAGACATTAACACGCTTAAACAATCCCCAACATATCTAACATTCTTAAAATCACATATGATATTTATTTTTCAAAATTAAAATCTAACACAGTTCAAACATATCTTGAGATGTCTGAGACACAAACCACGCAATGACATGCCAAGACATTCTCTACAAAGCTCGGAGATGCTTTGCATAGGTGGGACACAATCTGACATGATTGAGACATGTATTTTTTAGCGAGCCAAATTATTAAATTTTTTTTTGATTGATTATCGTGAAGGTTCTATAGAAGTGGACATAGGTGTTTGGTACTTGGGTTCATTACTGATATAATAATATCCATATTTTTGTTTTTCTATATTCTGACAATTGTATATTCTTTTTTATTTTGAAAGTATTAATGGATAAAAATATTTTCATTTTTTTATCAATTTGAATGCCTAATGATTAATTCTATTGTTGGTGTGTTATTGAAAATTATTAAACATATAATCTTGTTGACAATTCAAAGTTAAAATTTGCAAGAGCATTCTTGATGATTTCTTAGTGTTAGTGTGTTTGTTGAAAATTGAGGGCAGTTGATAAAAATAAGTACAGTTGGTAAACTATCAAAATATAGTTGTAATTGGCAATGTTTTTCTTATTGTTTCTTAAGTTTTTTTTATTATGTAATACTTCATTTTGTATAAATTTGTATGGGAATATCGACATAATGTGTTTTGATTGTACTTTTTTATTTTAGTAATTTATATAAAAATAGTCTCTATGACTTGTCATGCCGACCAAGTAAAAGGAACAAGCTAAATCTCTAAATAAAGCAAGCCATAATTTAAAGTACAAACCAAGAATAAGAACTGTTAAGCCACATCCAATGCTCCACAAGTTAACAAAAATGGTTGGGCACAAATGCAATTTTGTAAATGAAATATTCAAGCATCGCCATTGTCTACCTTATTCTGATCTTTTGTTTGAATGATTCATCTTTAATCATGTCTCATAATCTGAACCAACAAAAAACTTTCAGATTCATCGTCTATATTGTCCCAGACAACACTTTCAGGAGTTTATGATTGCATTGGAGTATTAATTGACCTGATAGTTGAGGGTATTGATGTTGAATTTCATTTAGCTTTGGTTGCTCATGTTCTCTTAGACGTATAATGAAATCTTGTTATTCATTTACATCGAGCCTCTTCCAAGTTTGTAACTACCATTATCTTGCCTTATTAGTTCATCATCAAAACAATCATCTTTTGCATCATCTATGGTCCCAATGAGCTACTTATTGACATATTGCATTCATCAAATTGAGTCCAACTCAATTGATTTAATGTCACCTCTTTTTTCATTTATATGTTTTAGAGCTTGATTGTACTTTACATATCATTTCATTACTTGTCATCTGGCCTTTGTTATTGAAGGCATTAGGTGCTGTCTTGGCAACATGGCTAACTAAAGCTCGAGTTGCTAGGCACTATTATTGGTGTTCGGTGGGATGCTAAAAAGTTCCTTTTTTAAAATGGTATGGAATGCTTTAGAGAGTATTATATGATAATTATCTTATAAAATATTAAAAATGAATTGCAAAAAAAAAAAAAGAAAATAAAGTCTTGCATCCTTCCAAATATTAAAACAACAAAAGCTTGCTGAATAAAAATTCCTTATAACAAGTTTTGTTTCATGTTTAACTAACCAGTATAAAATCTTGGTAGCTTCCATAGTGCAAGGTTAATCTAATATTTACTGCTATTTGTTTCATCTTCTTCATGAACCATATTCTCTTCTTCCCCGTCATTATTCTGATCTTTTGTTTGAATGATTCATCTTTAATCATGTCTCATAATCTGAACCAACAAAAAACTTTCAGATTCATCGTCTATATTGTCCCAGACAACACTTTCAGGAGTTTATGATTGCATTGGAGTATTAATTGACCTGATAGTTGAGGGTATTGATGTTGAATTTCATTAAGCTTTGGTTGCTGATGTTCTCTTAGATGTATAAGGAAATCTTGTTATTCATTTACTTTGATCCTCATCCAAGTTTGTAACTACATCATTATCTTGCCTTGTTAGTTCAACATCAAAACAATCATTTTTTGCATCATCTATGGTCCCAATGAGCTACTTATTGCATTCATCAAATTGAGTCCAACTCAATTGATTTAATGTCACCTCTTTTTTCATTTATATGTTTTAGAGCTTGATTGTACTTTACATATCATTTCATTACTTGTGATCTGGCCTTTGTTATTGAAGGCGTTAGGTGCTGTCTTGGCAACATGGCTAAACAAAGCTTGAGTTGCTTAGGCGCTTTCATTGGTGTTCGGTGGGATGCTAAAAAGTTCTTTTTTTAAAACGCTATGTAATGCTTTAGAGAGTATTATATGATAATTATCTTATAAAATATTAAAAATGAAATGTAAAAAAAAAGAAAATAAAGTCTTGCATTCTTCCAAATATTAAAACAACAAAAGCTTGCTGAATAAAAATTTCTTATAACAAGTTTTGTTTCATGTTTAACTAACCACTATAAAATCTTGCTAGCTTCCATAGTGCAAGGTTAATCTGATATTTTTTGCTTTTTGTTTAATCTTCTTCATGATCCATATTCTCTTCTTCCCCATCATTAGATTTGTATCCTCCATCTCCATTGTCTACCTTATTCTGATCTTTTGTTTAAATGATTCATCTTCAATCATGGCTCATAATCTGAACCAACAAAAAACTTTCAGATTCATCATCTATATTGTCCCAGACAACAATCTCATGAGTTGATGGTTCCATTGGAGTTTTAATTGACCTGATAGTTGAGGGTATTGATGTTGAATTTCATTAAGCTGAAATCTTGTTATTCATTTACTTTGATCCTCATCCAAGTTTGTAACTACATCATTATCTTGCCTTGTTAGTTCAACATCAAAACAATCATTTTTTTCATCATCTATGGTCCCAATGAGCTACTTATTGCATTCATCAAATTGAGTCCAACTCAATTGATTTAATGCCACCTCTTTTTTCACTTCTATGTTTTAGAGCTTGATTGCACTTTACATATCATTTCATTACTCGTGATCTGGCCTTTGTTATTGAAGGTGTTAGGTGTTGTCTAGGCAACATGGCTAACTAAAGCTCGAGTTGCTAGGCACTATCATTGGTGTTCGGCGGGATGCTAAAGAGTTCCTTTTTTAAAATTTTATGGAATGCTTTAGAGACTATTATATGATAATGATCTTATAAAATATTAAAAATGAAATGTAAGAAAAACAAAAGAAAATAAAGTTTTGCATCCTTCCAAATATTAAAACAACAAAAGCCTGCTGAATAAAAATTCCTTATAACAAGTTTTGCTTCAAGTTTAACTAACCAGTATAAACCCTTGGTAGCTTCCATGGTGCAAGGTTAATCTGATATTTATTCCTATTTGTTTCATCTTCTTCATGATCCATATTCTCTTCTTCCCCATCATTAGATTTGTATCCTCCATCTCATAATATGGATATGTA